CCCCAAAATGTGACAGCTATTGCATCTTTTGCAGTGATGGCAGCCTAGATGTTGAAACAGTGCTGAAAAAGTCAGATGCACTGTAGTGGCAGTCATCAAACCCTGACGTGATGGGAGGTATTATTTCTGTATGTGTATACGCAGGCATCCCAGAAGACAGAACTGTCTTTCTACATCTGGCTTATAAAAACTTACTTTAAATGCTACACATACCAATTCAGTTTTGTTTTCTTCTGTATAATGAGCAAATGTGAGAATTTGGGTTTACTAAGCCATAGCTGTGAAATACCTCTGACAGGGAATCTACAAGACCAATCCCCAGTCTGATGAATATTCTTAAAACTAAGCAAATTCAGGCTTCTGTACACTGAATATCACACAGGCTTTCACAAGATGTAAGATACTGGCAAAACAGAACAGTAAGTTTGATTGAAAAACAAAAAAGCAACTATGAGAGTAACTGTGACAGTAAATAAGAATAGCTAAAAAAACCAGATTAACTGCCTTCTTGAGATATGGAGGGTTAGCTGTGCAGGCCTGATTTGTCACTGTATTATATTAATTTTATGCTGGTGTAAAAACAGGATGATAGAGCTGTGCTGAATGTCACTAAGTATGAATCCCTTCAGTTCTGTCATACACTCTCATGGGCATAAAACCAGCCAATAATTGAGCAAATCAAAGAAAATAGTACTAAAAATGAAATGGTAGAAATGTCAGGTGCAGGAAAAGACAATCATTAAACTCCTTGATCAATGAATTTTTACAGCAATGATCCAGAATGAGAAGCACAGAAATTTATTGAAAAGCTGATTTTCAGTAAGATGAAGACCCCTTGCAAAGCAGCATTAAAATGCCTTTGAATAGTAAATAAGTCAGGCTGAAAGTTTCTTAAATACTCTAGAGTTAAATACACACCTTACATATTTGACCTTCTCCATCTTACCATATCAGCTAATGCTTGTGGCTCTTTGAACCCTGTTCTGTTATTGTTGAGCTTGTTGTACAGTATTTTGTTGGTTTAGGAGATGTTTGGATTCACAGTGTCTTATGGAATAATATACTATTCAAGAGAAGCAAGCGTGTGACCCTCTTTGTAACAGCAGCACATTCTGAGAGGATAATATGCCACATATGGCAAAATTTATATTCTTCACAAGACATATGTTTCATGTCATGAGAATTCATATTTCTCCTTTAAAATTATGCACAAAGCTTTCTCAAGTGCAAAAGGCATTAGGAAATGCACTTGAAAACACTCTGAAGTTCTGGAAATGCCAAGAAACCTCATTTCTAAGCATGCTTATTGGAACAGAAATGTCAATATGTGCAGTGATTGCTGGGCTAGAACAATGCAGGAAAAGACCTTGCAAAGTGAGCCAGCACGGCTGGGGTTAGCGTATTGTGAGAAAAGTACACCTTGCATGGTAGTAGGACATTAAAATAATGCAGTAATAAACGGTTTTGTTTAATTACATCTACGATTGGTTTCTTTAAGCTATTTAAAATATTGCAAATGTGATTGCAAATATTACTTATGTGATTGTTTCAAAGAAATATTTGCTTGCATTCTGTCAGTAATAATCAGTGGGAATGTTACTTTTACCGTAAATGCACATGAAGTTTATGAGTGACGGCACAGTGGAACATAAACGTATCTATTTGGCATTACCAAGTTTTATGAGTTTTCTCCAGCAGAAACTTCTGAGAAGCTTATTTACCCATGTAGATATCTATATACACTCATTTACTGTAAGTGAAAGCAGATTTGTGTCATCTGTTACATTTATTTTGATTGACTATAGATTGGTTGCCCTTTGACTGCTGTTAATGTTCTGTGGAGCCATTTGTTTTCCAGCAGAGTTAATGGTATTAAAGGAGAAGGTATTGCCTTCTTTTTAGGATTAATCCATTTTAAAAGTGCTCTTGTTTAAAAGGGGAAAAAACCCCAAACAAACAGATTACCCATTCTCTCACATATCCAATTTAGGACAATACCTGAGCACAGATACTGGGGCCATGGAGCTTGTTACGGACTTGGGGAGAATATTTTTGTGAGAAGCCTCTGTTAAATTACTAGCAACAAATCACTTGTCCCTCAGGACACATAGCACTTGCTTTTCTACTGGCAAAAACTGGAGGGAACCTGGTTTAAATTTATCTACTATTTATCCTGAAAAGTTTTAATAAGGGCTTAATTGTAAAGGGATTTTCAAGTAATGGATTGTAGCTGGTGAATATATCCCAGTTCAGGGAAAATAACTATTCTCCTGCCTAGTTCATAGTCCTTGAGATTAAGACCATGGCTGGTGGAATTTATGCAAAGATGTGTACATAAATACATCAAGATGTGATTGCTTGGAGATTGCTTCTCATTCATCCTCTTTCTCCTCCTTTTGCCTTATTCTTCCTTCTGCAAAGTGGGGCAGACTGGGAGACTCAGGGGCTGGTTTGCTGGTTCACCCACAGTCAGGATGGGCTGGTATACACCAGCTGATGTGCTCAAAGGGCTCCAGCCTTCCAGGAGAACCCTTCTCAGGAGAAATAAAAAAGAAAAATGAAGGTTCAGGGGTTTGGTGGTGTTAACCAAAGAAACATGCTATACCTGGTGCAGGTGTGAGCTTTGTCACCCTTCAGTGCTGCTCTGCTGCTGATCTTCCTTCCTTTGCTTTCTGTGGAGGACTTTGTTGACAATAGACTTATCTCCACTTGAAAAATGGAAGCAGCTTTACTCTTCATCTTTCCCACTGGAGTTTTTCAGTGGTACGTGTGCTGTAGCAGGATGGGAGAGCTTGAAGTGTCCACTGTGCTCACACCACAAAGACAGAGAAAGGCACGTGGGCTTGAAGAGCCTTTCAAGAGACTCTTGAACCTAAACTTGGTTGCCTCTGTGCCTGTTTTGAATGAAAGCAAAGAACCAATTGGTCATAATGAAACTGGTATTGCAGCAAAGAGAATGTAAATCCTAAGCATATTTTGCTTCAGGACTATACAGACTTTTTCATTTGGTGACTGGTCTGTCTTTTTATTCTAACACTGTTGTAGGAATATAAATTAGGACTAACAAGGAACAAGATGGCTTCTGTGCCTAAGCAGATGCTTAAGTTACGGCCATCAGATCTAAGTTGTAATTATCATTGAGGAAAGTGAGTGCTAACATTTTTTCTTTTGCTTCAGATGGTAATTATCTCATTTTACACCTTTATGGTCATTGCTTGTTTTCATGGGCAGATTTTGTGCAGTTCTTTATGCTATGTTAAAAAAGAATACGAAATTGCTAGCACCATAATTAGGACTGAAACTAGGAACAGCTATTCCTAATAATTGCAGATACGATGAGTAATTGTAATTCATGTTGGCTTTTTATGTCACCATGAGTTTTACAAAAAGCAAGCAAACAAAACCAGGTTGACAACCCCATACTTCCTTTTTGCCAAACCTGTCCCCTCCCCTCCTGGTTTCTGTGAGCTGCGGCCACACTATGGATCTGTGGGCTAAGCATATCTATCAGGTGTTATTGCATCTCTCCAGAGCATAACACGGGCATGAGCTACGCTGGAGCTCATTCAGCTTACTCACTCCTCTGTCTGTGTCATGTCCTGACACAAGAAGAAAACTGCATGCATATGGAAATGAAGTGGTGCCTTTCCTTCAAGAGGGGATAAGCATTTTTGCTTTTATTCCTCTTTGCCTCATAAAAGAAGAGAAACCTGCAAAGCAAATGAATGCAGCTTCTAAAATAACCATTTTAAATCCAAGCTGAAAGTTGTAAACAAGGTGGGCTGACTTCCACAGAAGGTAAGTGGAAATAACCTTTGGCCATTTTCTCCTCCTTGGCTTCTGCCTCCTGCCAGGCACTGCCATCCTGGCTGCCTGCAGACCTCTGGTTCAAAGGGGAGAGGAGCCCTGTGTTCCTGCTCAGCAGCTCGCAAGGGTGTAATAACTGAGCCAGCAAAGTCAGAGGACATAGTGGATGGGAATCCAGGAAACTAAATTTGTTGCAGAGCCACAGGAAGCCAACACAGAGATGCTTGGCCTCAAATCCTCCTCCCAAGCGTGTCTGTTGGGCAAGGGTCCATTGCAACCTCTCTTATTTCAAGGTATTACAGAAGTACTTTAAGCAATTGAAAAATTAATTTTCAAAATTAAGTGTTTATATTTGGGGAGACTGAAAGCTCACTTTTGTAGAGGTAATTGTACAAAATCCCAGATGTTTCATGTTTCAGTCACTTATCATGAACCTTGAGGTCTGGTGCTGTACTCAGGCAGATCTTAAGGCACAGAGGCTTGGGACCACTGGGTAGACCATCCATATGTTGTCACTCTGTCCTTTCAGTGATTACACAGACATTAAAAAGAAAAACAATCTCACTTTTACGACTTGTCTTTCAATTTGTTTTACCTTAATATTAAGCTACAAATAAAACTCATGGAATTATTAGATATGTGAATGCATCATTAATACTGGTGTTGAATGACTAAGATTAGAGTGCTTTTTCTCCTCCCCAGCATTTCCATGGAATAAAAAACTGGTAACATGTCTGAAAACCCTCTCCTAGAATGTTGCTTCAGAATCACCGACTAGAAAGATCAGAAGATTTCCTGAAATATTGTGGTTTGCATATGATCACAGTAAAGATCAAATGGAAAAATTGCACCATTTACAAGTTGAGGTACGTGAGTCTTTCGAGCACTAATTTTGCTCTTTTGTAATTCTGAAAATTTCTTGGCAAAAGAACGCAATCAAGATACCTGTACATATTTTATTATGTGTATTATTATTTATATACATACTCATACGTGTATAATAAGTACAAAGATTTTGGTTGTTTCAGATGCAACTGCATAAGTGAAGTTACTTCAGAAAATGAACCAGTAATAAAATGTCATTTTTCTTAGAAAGAGAAGAAAGCGTGACTAAAGATTAGAATTATAAAAGCAAAAAATTCACCTGGAAATACATGCCACTACAGTAATTACTAACTTGTTCTTTATTGCAGATAAATTGGGTAGTCACCTACAGCTACAGCAGCGTGGCAGTTGTCCTGGAACACTGCTGAGGTCTGCATGCTAAAGGCTCTATGCTTTTCTCAAAACTGTTAACTGAAATATACAGGAAGGTCAATTAAATAACATTAAAGGAATATCAGCATGCCAGTCCTAGTAGTGCATTGTAAGCCATAGAGCTACAATGCGTTGCCTGACTTGCGGCATATCCGAAGTTCTTTTGAAAGTTGGAAGGTGCTGCAGGAAGTCATCTAATACACCTAAGAGATAACAGTGTAAATCATTTTTTGTGGCAATTAAGGTATGTGTGGTGAAAACAGAAGCAGATGCATGTTTAGATTAGTGAGTTACACTAGGTATGATAGGTGCAGAAACTTCGGGAATTGATTGCCAAATCTATTGTTATTCCCATTCTGGGCAAATAGTTGGGAATGTGAGAAGAGTCATTAACATCACTTCTCTCACCACATAGCACTGTAATGATTAGCAAAACACCTGAAAACATGCCATGCAGCCCTCTGTAGAACTGGCTGCTTACACTACCCAATAATTTTGTTTCACATTTTGGCATGTTCTCTCTTTTGCCTACTTATAGAATGGTTTTTTTTTTTTTTCCCTTTTTTCTCCTAACCCTTGATGTTGGAGACTAAAATGAAATATATGGCAGAGCCTTCAGTTCTCTGGGTCAGTAGGAATATTCAATTGCTGAGAGTTAATAACACATCAAAGAGGCATTTTGAATGGTCATTTTAACCCTGCAACATTCTGGCATGCACCAAAGAAAACTGTATTGGCAAGGACCAATGTTATTCACAATGTTATCTCACCTGCTTTGTTTATGGCAAGAACCTACAGTTATAATTTATCATTGTTCACTTCTGAAGTCTGGTGTTGTCAGGTAAAGCCAAACAGAGCAGATGCTGTGATGATCATGATGATGAACTTTATTATTGATGTTATTTGTAAATTAAAGCCTGTTTAAGAGAGCAGTTACATGCATGCTTTTGTCTCATGGAACTGAAAGGACTTCTGACATACCCATGCTTGTTTAAATGCTATTCTAACTAGGGATGAGCCTGAACATATATATGTTTATGCTTCACTGAACTGAAGCTTACTAGAGGTATGGAAAGTCTTGTTTTCTTCATGGGATGAACCTTTGTTCATTCCAGCTAGACCATGCAGGCATAAATCATGTTGAACAATCAAAGTATCTCCCTGAATAAATTCCTGGATTGCTCAAACTTAATACCTAATTACAGAGCTGGTGAGCCTAGATACACTGAAGGCGGTTTGAAAGGCTGCCTGAAACATCACGGCTTGAGATGCCTTTGTCGGGAGCATTGTGCTATGATGTGTAATGTGGGTAGATTCCTGTGGGATGTTGACAGTTTGGGGGAAATGCATGTAGGAGGAACTGGGTTAAGAAGACCAGTTTTTTTTCTTTCTCTCTCTAATTGTACTGTTTGTGGGCTTGGGGATCTGGGGGGCTTGTTCTGTTTTGTTCTCTTTATTCTCTTTGGTTTAGTTTGGGTTTTGTTTTTTGGTGAGTTTTTTTTTTTCTCTTTAAGGTAGGGGGAAATGAATATCTTCAGGTTTTGTAAAAACCTGGCCAATACATACAGCATGTCATGAGCCACTTGTACCTGGAGGTTCAAAACTGCAGCAGTCGTACCCTCCCAAAGGATGCTGGTCAATGCTCCTGAAAGATCTGATGTTCGTTTTTTGCTTATGGCATTTATATGGAGTGATGATCACTTGATAAGCAATGGATTTATGTAGTAAATTAACTAGCTCTGCAGTTTCCTCCACCCTCTGCCTGCCAGTCTGTATCTACTGGGACTTGCTCATTTTTTTCCAGAGTTACAAATAGGTCTCAGTATTATTATTTTCTTTTAATCATTTGTCAGGAAAATGGTTTTTCCTCTTCACATAGAAGTGGATTTTTGGCTCTGTGTTATTCCGGGCTCAGGCACAGGGCAAGCATGATTCAGGTCTGCACCAGCAATGGGTTCTCCACATGCAAACATGCAGAGTTTAAAGTTCACTGGCTTATAGCAATGCAAGGATAGGGCCACAAGCTTTGCTATAGGAAAAGGCTCAATCTTAGCTTCATGAAAAACTTGTGACTCTTGCATCTAATATCAACAGGGCATGAGATATTGTATCTGAAGTAGTAATGCCATTAGCTGCAGAAAAAACATTTTCATGGCACTCTCCCTCCCACTTCCTTTTTCCTCTCCTGAATGTATGCTGGAATTGGCATGTGATATTAGACCAGGATCTGCTTAATCTAAAAATGGTGTACATAACTTCTTGAAAAATATTTCTTGGACTTAATGAATTGGCATATTCTAATTTTCTTTCTAAGTGTTCAGGCCATTTTAATGCTGCTAGAACAAAGAGTTTCAGAGAATACTTATTTATTTGTGTTGTGTAGAAAAATGTAGTCTTTTACCACTCTTCACAGATTTCTGCCATGTAATATTTTAACTTTTTGAATGAGAGAAATGTTGAGTAGAAGCACAGGATATTTCATCTGTATTAGAGTCATCAAATTGCAACCTTTACTATTTTCCTTCTTATTTTGTCTTTAAATTAAATGCACGTAACCCTTTTTATCTTTTCATATAGAAAATTCTTGATTCCTCTATTTATTTTAATTCTTTTTAAATCTGAATTCCCTCTCTTACTGTATTATCTTTATACAAGCACTGACCAAAACTGAACACAACATCCTTGTTGGCAGTGTATTATTCATTTACCTATCATTATACTGCTTATAATGTATTTTCCACTCTGTGTCTTATGTCTCATAATACATCATTTGCATTCTTTCTCTTTTTTTTTTTTTTTCCACAGATGCCACACTCTACAAAAGCTTTCCTGTAGAGCCGCCATTGGGAGCAACCCAAACCTTTTCCAGAGTGTCACAGTTTATAAGTCAATAAAGTGTCTGTGACCTTCCAAGCATTTCCACTAGTGGCCATTGCTTTTTATTTACCCGTATTTGCTGAGCTGCCATTCACCTGGCCTTGTTAGGGTTCTTGCCATGTTTTTCCTCGATTTTGGCCCAATACTTGATACATATATATGTGTGTGTGTGTTCTGCAGATGCACATAGCCTTTTCTTGAGTTCATTCCTCTCAACAGCCCTGCTTAAAGACATGAGACACTCCACCTCAGTTTCTGCCAGGCCATCTGGCTTGGTTGCTCTTACTCTTCATTCCATGCCTCTGTACTGTGCTCCAGTTCTCAGTGCAGGGCTGTTACCAGAGCTCATGCAGGCGTATCTGCCTTTGAACTTTTTAGCTCAGGTGAAGCTGGAAGCGTAGGTAGTATGGGAGGCTGTGAGCTCTCCTGGTTTGCACAGCCTCTGTTAGGTAGCTGTGATGATCTCTGTGCTGATACACCTACCTTCCTGTGGTACAGGAACAACAGTAGCAAAAAAATGACTTGTGTAAAGCTCCTCAGCCTTCAGCCACACCTTTGAATGCAACTTCATGGCCTTTGTATCCCAGCCATGAGGACAGTTTCTCTGGAATCACGGTCTTCCACATGTGTTAAACAGAGTTCCTGGGGAAAAAACCAAAACACTTTATGAAAGGCTTTTGGATCATTCCAGTGCATTATATCCACTGAGGTAACTCCACTGATTCCAGCTTTATAGGTCTCCATCTAACAAAACTCATAAGCAGTTGCTTAGTATTAAGCTACTGCTAGTGGGTTTCCTATGCTCAAGTGCAAATGCACGCTCCTATGCTGTACTCAGCAGCAGCTCTCTGTTTAAGTTGCTGGCTGAAGAAATAGGCTATTTATGGGATGTAAGTCTTTACACTTTAATTTTTAAAGAAAGTCCTTTCTGTAGAATGCAGACCAGGTACAGGGTCTGTGGTCCTGTGCTATGAAGCCTACTTACTGATAGCTGGAAATGTTGACTGCACTATCTTTATAAACTCAGGCCAAAACCACCTTTCAGATTAAGCAATAATTTGACCAAGATTAAGGCGAAGGGGGAGAACACATGGCCAGTTACTCACCAGAGGTACGCACGTATTCATAGAGTAAATCCCCAACCTGCTATAGTAATGCACTTAGTTACTGGAAATGCAATGTGAGATTACTTTCATGAGCAAGGATGAAAGAACTTGTTTAACCTTTGTACAGCATTTTCCACCCACACAGAAAAGTGACATCAGATGTTTTGTAGATGTGAAAAACAAGTCAGAATTTGGGAGACTCCTGAACAAGAGACAGAGATACCCCATCACCCCTAGGTTTGTTCACTTAACTTGCTTACAGTTCACTTACACGTTTACAGTGAGTCACTTAAAACTTCTCGTTACCTGTTTCTGGACGTTAATGACTCCAATGCAAAGAACCAACCCCTCAGCTCTGTGTGTAAAGCACTGTACAGGAAGCACTTGCTAGAAGGTATTTTATGTTTGTGTATGCAGTATCATGTAAGGCTTCTGCATTTAAACATACTTTCCAATACTCTGCTGATTTCATCATTGGCTTTGAAGAGAGATTTTCACAAGGTCAGTCATTAGCTGGCCCTTAAGTAAGAGCATGAAGCCATGGAATAGGAGTTTAAATGAACATCACTGAGACAGCTAAGATGCAGGCTGGACATGCCTGCCTCTATGCAACAAACAGCTGGATGGATCGCAGTCCTCTTCAGTGTCACATAAAAAGTATTGTAGGATTTCTGAAACTCAAGGTTCCTAATCTTTTGACAGCATCTCTGTGCTAATATTTTGTTACTTTCAAAACAGGTTTGGGTGTAGTTCCTGCATGTCGCAGCATACAACAAAAAAGTGTTTTGTTTTAATTGACATTTTGACTGATGTGAGCACAGTTATTCCTCTTTCCTCCCTCCTGACCCCTGAAAGTGTTTGAAAAATAAACTTTGAAGTCCTGGGAGAAGTAGCATGTCTTTGTCAAGGGAGAAGGTGGGGGTGGCGGAGGTGGTGGAAGGAGTTCAGTTTGTCAACACGACAGCCAGGAAGCAAGTTATTTATAACGCTTGTGGTAGAGAGGGGGCCAGCCCACATGTTTGCAAAAAAGAGCTTAACTAATCACATGGTACAGCTAATTGTGTTATTTGTAAATGTGTTTCACTTGCAGTCTTGGTGGACAGAGGGAGTAGTAGAAAAGGGGATCATGGTACAGATCATGGCCATTCTGTCTCAGCATGTCTACAGCTGGGTGCTACCCCCATGCCACTGCCCAGGTCTCTCTGGATGGACTTCAGCCATGCTCCTGAAAAGGACTTTGCTGTCACTAGAGAAAGTATGAATGAAGGCACACAGGAACTGACGCTTTCTCAGAATTAAAAAATCATGTACTTAAAACACAGCTCTGACAATGCACAGCTTAAATTTTCAATGACTTCTTAAACCACAGAATATCTAATTTTTAGCTGGTTTTCATGACTCTCTCAAAGAGGAAGTTAAATGTGAGAGGCACATGACCATGAGACTATACTTGGTTGGACTGACATCAAAAGAAGTGAATTTTGGACACACAAAGAATTTTTTAAATTACTGCTTCAGTACAGTCACATTTACATTTATTTTTTTTTTAAGTATAGAGCATATATTGAGCTATTCTTGTGGACTGAATGATACTCTAAGTCCCATGATGCATGCATGACATAGACTTGACACTGATGCTACATTCTTTTGGTTCAACAGCCATGTGAAGACTGTATTGTCCTGAGCTTAAAAAGGTCAAAAAATAAGCTGTATCTCAAGCAAGACAGCCTGCAATTTAATGCTTGGCCATGCAAATTCAAATCACATGTGTGCACATTTATATGTGTGTATGTGTGTGTGTATATATATATGCATACACACAAACTAATACATATATGCAGTAGTATTATTCAACACAGATATATTTCAATTTAATTTTCTCATAGTAAACAAAACCACAAACAAGTCCTTCTTTTTTTTTTCCCCATAAGTAGCAGTAAAAGGCCTAAGCATATGATAGCAGATTAAATCTTGGGGAATATGCAAGAATCTGTACCACAATTTGTACTTGAAAAGCAGATAGGAGATAACTTTTTAATAAAATAAAGGGATAAAAATCCATACTGATATCTAGCTTGTTAAAGAAAAAGCGAGATGTTGCAAGAGGTGTTGCTTTAGCAACCTCCATGAGTTCTGTCCATTTACTGGTTAGAAAACTAAAATTTCTTAAGGTCATGCCCTACCTTTCTTATTCTTGGAGTCCTCTTGCTGGGTCCCACAGAGGTCTGGCGGTGCAGCAGCTGGGGGTCTTGCTGGGAACATGTTATGCACCCCAGGGCAGCAGCTGCACAGGTAGCATGGAGTGAAATTCCTGGATGAAATTCTGGCCCTATTGAGGTTGTCAGGTGTTCTGGGACTGGCTGCAATGGAGCCAGAATTTAATCCTCTTTCTCCAGAAGAGAAGATGGAAACCAGAATTAATACTTTGGTACAGAACTGCAGGAGTTTTATATTTTTTAGTATTGGGGACTTGCTCTTGGCCTGGAAGATCAAAGAATGAACCAAAAAACGAAATGATGGAACAAAAATCAGTGGTTATTTTGGTGATTTTCTAGAGTTCCAGAGATGTAGGTAATTCAGATTGGCGGTAATTTATATTTACATTACTGGTGAAATTTAGTAGAACTTTCCCACACCTGAGATTAACAGCTTTCCCACACCTGAAATTAAGAGAATGTATTTGACAACTTTTGCTCTCATTAGAACATAGCAAGGCAAAACAAAACAGAAGACATCCAAGGCAAACTTGGAAAGCTGTATTTTGAAATCTCAAAAGTTTTAAAAGGAACAAACATTTGGAAAAGTTTTTCTATAAGACAAACACTTAGGTACCCTAAAATGCAGGACACCCTGTGCTTTTCCATTTTAAAATGATGGAAATTGCTGCACCCTCAGCATCATCGTTGAGTGTCTTAGCTCACAGTTATTAGAACGTGACACTGGTATCGCACTAAAAGGAGCACCTACTTAAAAAAGTTAGAATTTGTATCCCATCTATGAAGTCTTACAAATAAGGAAAGAGTCAGCAGGATTCCCACTATATTAATACATATATGAAAACAGATATTCTAGTAAGCAACTGTTTCACTTCTCAGGCCAATGAGACGGAACAAAAACCCCTTTAGGAATGCACAGAGAGTGAAATTATATAATGTTCTCTACAAACTTCCATTTCATCCTTCATCTTAATTTTTAAGTTTAATATTTCTATTCCTGTATTGAGACAATGTATCCGCAAAATCTGTCCTGACTACAAAACACAAACACTGGCTCTAGTAAACTGCAAGGTGTCAGAGCCCACTGTTCTTCTCTGGACAGTTTGTTCAATGTAACATAGTGCAGCTCTTCCCCATGAGTCACAATGTATTCTCTGGGAAGCACAAGAAGCTTCTTGACCTTAATACTCTCCTGCATTTAATCAGGCTAATCTCTATGCTATGCCCTTGTGATACCTTAAATAATTAACAGCAAGCAACATCAGCTGGGTATCCCAGCTATGATTTCTGGGTGATATATTTCCCGGAATAAATTCAGGAAGTCAAATCCCAGCTTCCTGCTCCAGTTCCATTGCAATAATGCAATTTTATACTCTCAAAATGTTGGATTGCAATTTCTTTGGATTTTATCTATGTTTTGAGCCATGATCAACAAATGATAAACTGATATCACCTGCAGATACTATCAGTCTAACATGTTACAACAGTTACAGCTAATTCTTTAGATTGAAAAAAAATTATAGGATTTTCTTTATCTTAATTTATTTCTAAATGATGCATAATTGTCTTAAATTGGGAAAGCGTTTAAACTGACAAACAAACAAATGGAGAGAAATGTCTCAAAATCATGATCTCTTTTCTAAGAGAGGAAATGCTATAGGAAGACTGGCAGTGGATGAAACCTTAAATCTGTAGGATTTACTTATACAAAGGCCCG